CTTTTTAACTCTCGGGATGCAGCTCCGGGCTACAGGTTTGGTCCTACTTCGCAAAGGCAAACATAATCAGTAACCTCTTGCTGCTGCCCCAAAGGTGGAAAGCTGTGAAGGAGCGGAGATGCAAGTAGCACAGCATGGTCCAACATGCACCTCTCAGAGCAGGGCTCTTTGTATTCTGTACATACATGCTTCACAGTACAGAGTCACAGTTCCTTTTTCTTTTTTGTTTGCTCAATGAAAGTATGTTTCTAGCCTTCATGGCTGTCAGGAAAAAGACTGAGGAAAGCTGTTTGTTACAGCTTCAGAAACCAGAGCGCCTCTAGTTGAGGATTCCGGTCTCTCTCTATAGCAGGCATAGACAAACTCAGCCCTCCAGATGTTTTGTGGCTACAACTCCCATGACCCCTACAGTGGTCAGGAATGATGGGAATTGTAGTCCCAAAACATCTGGAGGGCCGAGTTTGCCTATGCCTGTTCTATAGCATCCACCCCTTTCATTCCCACCCAAAAAGTGTCAAAGCAAAAATACAAGATTAATAAATATGCCTCTTTATAGCTTCCTATCCTTTTTATTTTCCCAATCGTCCTTGGTCATTATGGTCTACCACCACCTCGGCCTAATAAACTGTACAGGCATTCCACCACCCTGTTTACACGGGGGTTACGTTCTGGACCCCCCTTTGCATAAGTCAAATCGCATAAAGTGGGGAGCACCCTCTAAAAAAACTCCAAATGCCTATTTCCCCCTGCTCTCCAGCTCGCTCTCCTCGCTCTCCAATCCAGACCAAAGTATCTAGAGTTGAAGCTCTGGGGCTGGCTGGAGGCTGGAAGACATGTCAGTGGCTGCAGCTGCACTACCCTGAGCAACAGCTGTTAGGCAGGGAGGCTGAGCAGCCTAAACAAAGCGCTGCTGCACCTCTGGCCTCTTTGGGGCTTCCTCCACCCTTACTGACATCCTTTTCAGGTTCCAAGAAGGGTCTCCCTTCCAAGAAGGAGAGGACTCTCTAGCTCTCTTCAGTCATTTCCTAGTATGATTCTACTTATTTATTTCCCAGCGCCACATATATGTGTGGCTGCACACAAGTAGAATGTGCATAATTGGGTGGGTGGGTGGGTGTGTATTAAATTTGTCCCGGTAAGTAGTGTACTGTGTTTATGGTTGTGGGCTTTCTACTGGTCCCAGCAACTAGCAAGTCATCACAGAGGTCAGATCCAGGAGATGCCATCTTGCATATCACTAGAGTCATCTACAGAGTCCATATTAGTGAGCTCATATTCCTATTTTATACCTTACATCTAATCTCCTCTATTCAAACTCTGCAGTGTACCCAGTTTTCAAGTTATGATTACTTAGGACTCTGCTAACCAAACAGCCTGAACATTTACTTTCCATCTCATTGAGAAACACTGTTTTGCCCAGTAACAACTAGCCTTTGCTTACAGAAAGGTCTGGCCACTTACAGCCTGATCCTATATGCATGCTTACACAGAAGTAAGCCCCACTTGGTTCAACAAAATTCAATTCCAAATTCATGTGCACAGGAGTGCAGCCTCAACCTTCATCTTGCTTAGTGTCCTTGAACGTGTACAAAAAAAGCCAAACTGGAAACTGTCTCTCGTTTTGTGGAATGCCAAAGGTTTAGGCTTCTAGGTTATATAAAGGATCTAGCTAGTTGAAAACCAATGTGTTTTTGTTTTTAATTCAGTAACATTAGCTTGCATGATTGTTCAAGAAAGAAATTAAATTTAAAATGGGAGACTCAATCTAAAATAAATAACTTAGGGTACAATCTTAACAGCTTTTGGGAGGGTGTTGCAGAGGCTATAGGATATATTGGATTTGCCTTTCTGCCTGGGACAGAACTCTGATGTCAGCAAACTCCCTCTCATTCCAGCCAAAGCCTCCAGGGCCCTGGTGCAACCTACTTCAGAACGTGGACATTGGTAAACAGGTATATTGGGGTGGTTTGGAGAGCGTGCTGGGAGAGAACTGGGGAATGACTAGAATCTTAAGGATCTAAAGCCATTCCAGTCCCCTGATAGCCACAGTCCCCTTATTCCCAATGGGAAGAAGAAGTGGAAGAAGAAGAAGAGTAATACCCAGAAATAGATGGAGGACCCCAAGATCAATCTTTCATCATTATTTCTCCCCTGCTGGCTCAATCCCAGCAAGACTCTGGACATTGCAGATCAACTACCTGCAGTTTCACTGCCTTAGGTATGCAGCATTGGGTTGCAGTCCTAAATCTGCTTACTTTCTGAGTAGACATGACAAGAGTTCTGCTACTGGTCCTTTATTCTTTGTTATTTATATCATTAATCTATCCTACAATAAACCACAGAAGCTTTCATCACATATAAAAGAAAACAAAGTGACCCTGCGTACATTCTTTTTAAATACCAAACTTCTTATTCCAGTGCTTTCCAATTTCTGATTTGGAATCCAAATTGCTCCTGGCTGGAGTGGTGGTGGAATGGGCACAGGTTTTCCTCTACCCAGCTCTCCCAGCTAAGCCGACCTCCCATGAGCTGCCACCCAAGAAGTGAGGCATGGGTGGACTTGCTGATGGCAGGCTCTGAAAAGGGATGCTCCAGAGATGGGAAGTGGCTGAGCTGGTCCAGGATCCATTGACTCTGAAGCTGCTGTGAGTGGCAGGGCTGTAGATGTGGCACTGGCCCCACCACACCATGAACCCCTTCTGTTGTGTTTGTGGGGGGAGGTATAGATTACAACTTTAAAACTCCCATTTAATTAAAACAGAGTTGAGTAACATAGCGTACATGATTTGTCACTGCAAGTCCCAGGTTTAGGCCCTCCAATCTTCATGTAAAAGGATCAGGTAGAGGTTCTACAGAGATGGACAAACAGCCTCACTTGGCTGGGATAAGGCAGATTTCTATGTTACTAGAACTGGAGGTACATGCCATGCTTACAACCCAAAACAGTTGCTTTCACTGAGAGTAAGATTTCACAGGACGGCCTTATCTGGGGGCAAGTAACCATGCTCATTAATGATCCAACCACACCTAACACAGAGTTGTGGGAGAATTGCCCCCACCCTCAGCAGAGGCTGGTTGGAAAGCGAGAAGCCACACACAGAGGAGACAGTTTCACAGGAGCCTTTAAATTCCTCTTGCAGCACATTAACCATCCTCTCTCAGCACATCGTTTAGGAATGAACGCCCTAGGCCCACTCCATTCTGGGCACAGCAAAATGATCTCAATCTCATTAATTTCCCCCACCCAAAGCTGTATTATCCAGCCCTACCCTTGCAATATGCATCTTAGGCTGATGCCATCAGCACTCATTTTAAATAAAACTTAGACCAACTCAAGTAAATGAAAAACTGAGATAATAATTCCCTATCAAACTAATGCTTTTGGGTGATGGAAACGTACTTGAGGAACTGGTAGACAGTAGAGAGTGTCACAATAACACAATAAGCCTATTTTGGCGCAGATGTTAGGTGTGTGGGTGTACCTAGCACTCCAGCCAAGGGAGATCTAGCAGTTTACTCGTCCAAAAACTTTTACAAGTTTCTGGGTGTGCAATTTCGATAGCGTGAAGCAAGACCAAGAATCAGCATATGAATTACTGAATACTGTTCAGCTGCATTTCCTTCTTCCATTAAAAGCACAATGTAAAAATGGAGACAAATGCTTCTTGGTGAGGAGCAGCAGCAGCAGCAGCTCAAAAGAAGACAAGTATTTTACATGGTCAAGACTTATGAAAGAACCAGCCAGGGATTGGGAATATGTGGGTTTCCAGAGGCTGCTACACAACTCACATTATCCCTGCTCGTGCTGGCTGTGGCTGATAGGGTTGATGTCCAACAATCTAGAGGGCTGCAGGTTTCCCAGCCTGATATAAATGTTTGATTTGCTGGTCTTAGTCCAGGGCTACCAATCAGAGAGAAGAACAGATGGACATGACTGTATCTTTCTGCATCACAGCAATAACAAGCCCACAATTTCTTCATCTGCTTCAACACAGAATGGAAAGGCAGTGATTGAAGAGAAGCTGCAAAAGAAAGGCACCCCCCGCCCCCACCCACCCACTCCCAACTAGTGACTAACCAACACAGAGGAATGTAATCACATCTAACAATCAACCAGACTATCTGGTTTATTGTGGATTATCAGGAATGAGCAGCATGCTAGTGCCCAGTGCCCAGTCACTTCATTTCACTCCTCCCCTGGCACAAGCAGGATAAACAAACCAGGAAGCCTTGGTTTCCTGTTACATCTGAACCAGGGACCTTGGTTTGTCGCTCCCTAGCAAGACATGACCAGTCAGCTGACACCTAATCATGGATTCAGGTTGACTTGCAAATCATGGCTTGTTAGGGATAAACAACACAGGGTCCCTGCTGTACCTGCTCATTCTTGACTTCCTCAAACTTCTGTTCTTGAACTGTTTAGGAAATGCATAAGAATTTCTAAAGAGCTTCAAATACGGACACACACCCCCCACAGTTCACACTGAAGCATCCATTACTGAATTATTACACTTAGAGGACGGTTGGCAGAATGAATTGGGTAGCGAGTTTACCAGTTGGGGAGGGAAACAATCATGGAAGAAGAATTAGATAGAAAAACGAAAAGATAATATCACATGGATAATGCCTTATAAAGCAACAGGTACAGATAATAATGCACTGTTTAACAGTTTACATTCAGTGGAAGGCTGTCAAATTAAAATATACAGCCTCATTAATCCCAGTATTGTGAACTGCACCATCCACATTGGAGGGCATCAACAGTTTCAGCTAGGGTGTCTTATGTAGTTTAGGCATTATATGTTGTCAAAATGGATTTTTCTGGCCCTCTCTGCCTTGTTTTTATCACTGGGTCCTTGCTGCAAATCCACCAGATGGGTTTGGGGTGCTATTTTCCTCTGTGTATTTCCATGGTCCACTATTTCACGCCTCAGCAGAATAAATGCCTCATACTGTAGATGCCGCCATTTCCAAGTTTCTATCAGACGGAGGACTCTTACCTGGAACACCAAAGGGTTGTGTTGCTTCTAGTAGATGTCACAATCTAGTGCAGATACATGCACTCTGTGCTGGAAAGGAAAGCCATCGGGGTCCTTGTGCCAGCTCTAGCTCCTTGGCCTGGAAGAAGAAGAAGAAGAAGAAATAAAATGGAGACCTTGTTTCCACACGCATGTTAAGGAACACAGAGGAAAGAACAGGACAATGGTTTCTAAATGGCACATTTTCCACTTGGTGACAGAGAAAGTGCAACTGCTTAGGGTCACAGGAGCCATTAGCGCAGCCAGGGCTGAGCCCTACCAAGTGAAATGCCCAGCAATTTTTAAAAAAAAACAAACACCCCCCCCCAAAAAAACCTCAAAGCCACTCTTTAGTGACCCACACATTCTTTCATTTTTTCATGTTATGATACTGTACTTCTCTGCCAATCTCCCATTCTCTAGCCACTTGGCTCTCTACACCACCCAACCATTCTCAACCCAAAAGAATTGCTATGGCCAGGAAGTCCCACCCATCTAGATCCACATCTGAGTTTACTGGGTCTACTAGCTATTTGCTCAGGTTCTGGCAATTTCCCTTCCCTCCTATTGTCATTATAAGCTGAGGTTCACTGGTCCACATCCTCTCCCAAGTCCAATCGTACATCCATATCTCACTTCCGTGGTCCCTATGAATAGTGCTGCCTCATTCCAAAAGGCACATACTATATTTCCTACCCTTGATTAATCTTAGACAATGCTGCCTGCCCTGCTTCTCTGTAAATTCTGAGCATCTCAGCCAACAGTAGCTATTAAGACCGTATGGCCAGCCTCATATGCCTGCAATGTTAGGGCAATCTCCTTCAGAGGCTTCAACACTACTACTGCAAAATTCCTTGCTGCGTTTACACATTTTAAAAACAAAATAACGAAATGTCTAGATCACTTAAATAAAAAAAAGGAAATCTCAAAGCAGTTTACACAACATAGCGTGAAATGTTTATTTTTAAAACCCTGTTAAAATCAAAACATATTTTTTTTGAAAAATTAGGCAAAATAAAATAATAAAATATAGGTAACATCAGCAGAACTTTAGAAACAAGTATGTAACCTAATACATATCTGGGCATGTTAGCTGAAAGAAAGGTTTTAGCAAGCATCTAAAACAAAACAGCAAATATGCCTGTCTGATGAGAATAGATAGGACAGATTCAGAATTCAACGAGATCAAAAAGTCACACATCACCCCTACCCTGTGAAAGTTTACCATTAACATGCATTGATTAGCTAGGGAGTGTTAGATTTGGGTTGAACCTTTGAGAGCACATGAAGGCTCTAATAAACTTATTTGCACATTTGCTTGAGAACGTGCATAAAATAAAACTTTTCCTAAATACAAATCCCCTAGTATATTTCAGCAAAAAAACCAACAACACACCCACAACCAAAATGCATACATAATCCAAGATGTTTATCCATCGTTATTGATTCTTTTTGTAGTACAATCAATATCTTCATCCATTGAGAGTATTCTTTGAAGCCTTCCTAGTGTATCCTTGAAGCCCCAGTTCTGTTAGATTCAGTGTGAGACTTAACTTATTTGGTACTTCATGACCTGGGACATTTTCAGAGTTCTCTTGCAAATGAGCAGTTGCATTTAAATTTCAAATAAAGCTGTCTGTGGGAAACCGCAATTTTTATTTATACTTGATCTGAACACTTAGAAACCATCATTTTTTCGGGTTGTAGTATTCTCGGAAAAGATGTAAACATAGACTAAATCACCCGGTGGATAGTTAGTCGCACACATTGTTACAGATATGTGATCTACTTCCTATTATTAAATATACTTCCACTTTTAACTTTCAGCCCTTGACTTCCATTAGATGTCATTGTCAGAGCCTCAGATTAGACACAGTAAAATTTTGACGAAGAAGACACATTTGTATAGTGATTTGAATGGCGCTTACATGTGTATCAACACACATGACTCTAGCATGCAAACACACAGGTACAACATGTGCATATATAATTTTTCCCAGTGCATGCAGCTGTGTTGAGAATGAGATTAGCTGCAACTTCCCCCTGTTCATATACTGAAGGTATGTGTGCTAGAACAAAAAGACAATAACCATACAATTAGCCATGTATGACAGTATTTCACATAGGTTTGCAAGTTAATCCCTGCAGAGAAGCATTTTTATTTCTTTTAGTCAGCAATTGTATTGCATCTTTTAAAAGCCCTTGGATAAGCAGGCAGGGAACGGAAGATTGATACCAGTCTGGTGAAATGTTCTGTTTCAAACCTCTGCCACCACTGGCATTCAGGATTGCTCTTTTACAGCTATTGGACTTCGCCTGTGAGCACAAAGTATTTTTTCCCCCACCGTGAAAGTGCTTATTATATTATCAAGTGACATTTTCACTTCATTTCTCTGAAGACTCTTTATTAAAGCCAACCCACCCCATGTCCTCAAATCGTTCCAACAGTGACTCTGAAAAGAGGAGCACATTAAAAAAAGAACAACCACCACCCAGACACCAAGACTCGGATAGCATGTAGCAATAGGTTTACTCTTCCCCACGCTACCCCATCCCCATCTGCAGCTTTAGATCAAAATGGATCACACTAACCCCCATTGCTGCAGCACCCTCTAGGCACACACAACCAGTTAAATTACATACCATGAGGACTGTCAGCCCTGCTTTCCAGGATACAGCTGCCTGTTCTATAGCTCTGGCTGATACTCTTATTCCTAGAGATATGACCTTGCATTTGGCTGCATTAAAACAGATGTTGTTGGCACAGGGCCCAGCTGACCAAGCGATCCAAATTGCTCTGTGTATATCTTGCCCTGTCCTCAATGTTATTTACCACTCCAGCAATTTTTGTGCTTTCGATCCAAGGACTTGCCCACCAGCTGAGATCACAGAACTGGAACCTGTTTATTCTGAACCTGGGAGGAGTGGCCCAGACAAACCCCTTATCCTTGTCCATCAGGCTCTGAGTACAAAGCTAATGGTCCGTGCTGAAAACACCAGCCCAGGCCCCAGTGTTAAGGGAAGAGAAAGTCACCATGCTTTATTTGCCAGCTTGCATGGAGGAAGCCAAATCTCAGCAGCCCAGCACAAGCAAATGTGCTCTACACATTTATGCTTGCTTGCCACTGGTTCATCTGGAGACGTTGAATGGACAATGGCCATCATGCCTGAACAAAGTGGGGAAACACCGTCTTCCTTTGAACTCATCAACCCCCTAATTAAGAAGCCAAAGACCATGGTTAAACATTCCACTTTAGCCATATGTCGCTAGGTGAACAGCAAGTCTGAAAGATGTTAAGAACTTATAACTTGGAGGCAATCACGTTTTCAATCCATCTTATTTTAGCTAAGCATGGAAGATATTAACAAAAATGCACACATATATATATCAACTTCCAGCAATGTTCTGTTTATGTGGACCAAAATTAGGGGTGGGGAGCCACCTTCCCACAAGCCAGATGGACCCATAGAACCATCTGGAATACAGACTCCAGTCTTCCCCTTGACCCTCCACCCTGTGTAGCAACTGGGCCTGAAAATAGCCTCCTGTTAGACCCCTTAAATGATAACACACTGGTCCTCTGCAGAATCAAGGGGAGATGAATTTGGGCTCACTCCCTGATTCTGCAAAGGATCAGTGTTTTATACACGAACAGCAGAGATAACAACAACAACAACAAAAATAACCTTTCCTAGGGACAGAAACTCTCCAAAAGGCTCCCATGTCATGCTGGATCGATTTCAGCTGCCAGAGGTTGCTTTGCACCCCTGAATTGAGAGGAGATAGTTTAACAGCTTGTCCCCTATCATTATGGGGCTTTCCCCCTCCTTACTTTCTGCTCACTCTGCTATCAATCAAGGCACTGAAAGGAACAGATCCACCCAAGCAGCCTTAGCCACACTGCCTCAATTTCCCTCACCTATGCCCATGAGGACGCGGGTGGCGCTGTGGGTTAAACCTCAGCGCCTAGGACTTGCCAATCGAATGGTTGGCGGTTCGAATCCCCGCCGCGGGGTGCGCTCCCGTTGCTCGGTCCCAGCGCCTGCCAACCTAGCAGTTCGAAAGCACTCTTAAGTGCAAGTAGATAAATAGGGACCGCTTACTAGCGGGTCCATGTGCGGCTCTGGCTCGCCAGAGCAGCTTCGTCACGCTGGCCACGTGACCCGGAAGTGTCTGCGGACAGCGCTGGCTCCCGGCCTATAGAGTGAGATGAGCGCACAACCCCAGAGTCTGTCAAGACTGGCCCGTACGGGCAGGGGTACCTTTATCTTTATGCCCATGAGAGACCTTGCTGCGTATGTTTTTTGTGCTCTGGGAGGCAGACAACAGGCATCTGCTCTTGCCATTAGTTACACCTTTGCCAACATCTACATATCTAGCAGATGCAGTCCCCCTACTCCTGACCTAGGCTGAAAGCAAACCCAACAAAATAAAATCAGGCATTTTAAATATTTGCATTGAAATTTAAGAGCACATTCATACATATAAGCTAAAAGGACAGGCATTAATATATTTAACAACCAACATTCTATTAACGCAGATGAATTAGTGAAGTGGAGAGACTGCTGCAGAAGAAACGGGAGGGTGAATCTTTTACTTACTGCAAACAGCCCCCCCACCTACCCCCCAAATGGCTGGAATTCCCTTTCCACCTAATTATACCCATTCATTAGACTCTATTGATATGCACAGCTGGGTAGCAGCTTAGCATGAGTCAGCTCATTGCCAAAAGGCTTCCTGGCTTCTCAGCCAGCTCTTTCTATCAGTCACCTTTAAAGGCAATCTGTCACAGCCCAATTCTAAATCCTTTTGCAAAATACACACACTCTCCCTCCCTCAGCCTCTCTCTCTTGTGCCTGTTCTTCCCTCCAGTGGAGTTTTTTTGGGGGGGGCAGGGGAGGTGGTAATAGCATTTGGCTAACTAAATTCTCCAGAATCAGCAAACATGGAGCATGCTGATAAAGAGTTTGGATTCAAGCTTGGACCATGCAGGGACAGATTTGCAAAAGAGCATACTCACTGCTGGTCTCCCAAAGAAGTGAGGCAGAGATTGTTGTAGCCCAAGAAGTAGCTTTTTGAGCCTAAGGTGAAAGACGTAA